GAAAAAAAAAAAAAAAACTGGTTTCTTATTGCTCTGATACCATGTAAATAATCCTATTCAGTTCAGGTTTGAAGTATGAGAAGAAGAAGAAGAAGAAGAAGATGATGAAGAACAAGAGAAAGAGGTGAAGAAGGGTTCGGCAGTAGAGGAAAAGTGTTACCCTCTAGCCGGCCCACTTTGTATTTATAATGAATAAGTTGAGTTACAAAAAGACAGTATTGTCCCTTACAAGTGATGGGACACATAACTTAAACTTGAATAAAACAGACCTTTCACTTCTAACTAGATAAACCAAAAGACCAGAATACCCCTGTGCTGTCGACTCTAACAGATATGATAGTGCAGGGAAGAAAAAAAAGTGCTCTTGAAGCTAGAGATCACTCGAAGCAGTGGTGATAAGTACCAAAGCTCTAATGTAGAGAACAGAGATAATTAGCTTGTGGCCCCACTAGTCTGTTCGTCTTTTATTTTTTCTAATGTTATTGGCGGCAGGGGTATTCCTATCGCTGTAACCTTTTATTTCTTGTTTGGTATAAATAGCAACAAATGGGGCAGCAGAACAAATTAGATTTCTGCACCCTTTTCTCATTCTCTCTCTCTCTCTCTCTTCTTCCTCTGTTTTCTTGCAATTTTTTTTGAGAAAGGCAAATTGATAATATTCTGTATTAATATCAAAATGAGGTCCTTTGTACAATGAGTGACTGTACATAACAACCATTAGGAACCCCCAAAAAAGTCCACTCTCAAAAAAAAGAAAAGTTTTTATTTCTCAATACATTATGGACAGACAACCAGCTCTTCAAAAAACCTACTGCTCCATTGATTACTACTGTCTCTGAAGTCATCTTCTGTTCAAAAATTCTGCAATTTTTTTCCCAGCCAGATGGCCCACAAAACTGCAGCTGGAATTGAGGACTAGCATATCTTCCCCGTTTTAGACATACCCTGAATTGGCCAACCTTCTAACAGGGCCTTCACGGATCCTGGAGCACACCAGTTCAAATTTACAGTATTAATGAAGTGGTTCCAAATTGAAGCACTGAAACTACAGTGCAGAAATAGGTGGCTCGATGTCTCCATCTCTTGATTGTAGAGAGCACAGAGCATGCCGGGGACATTAAACCCCTTCTTCATCAACACGGCTTTAGTCAGGCATTTGTACAAAGCAGCCACCCACAGGAAGAAATTTACTTTAGAAGGGCCTGCTGCTTCCCAAATTAATTTTCTCAGAAAGGGCTCTCTTGCCTCTGCCTCTCCTACAAGGGTCCGAGTAGAAGGGCTTGACAGAGAATTCTCCAGAGCTTGCCCATTTCCAGCATCTTGTGTCTTGGGCTTGCAGATTCAGCTGCTCATTCTGAAGGATTTCAAGAAGGTGGGTCACCGGATCCAGCTCCCAACCATTGAAACCTCTCCTGAAGGAGGGTATCCAAGTGATAATATTATTCTCCACCACAAAAGAGTCTGCCACTAAAGCTGACTTGTCTGTAGCCGCAGCAAAGAGGGTCAGGAAAACATCTTTTGCAAGAAGTCAGATTTCTCTATGATTATTGTCAACTTGGTATCAGAGCCAAGTCCAGCCAGCTACATGAGAACTATTTAGGGCTGGAGTTTTCAGTTCTTTCTTGCCTGATTCTTGGAGGTCATTGGAAATTGCTGAAGGTGCCCAAGGTGAGAGAGATTTGCCCGGTGGCCAGGAAGAGTCAGAGAAACAGGTCGGTTTGTATTCTAGGGCTTAAATCAGTGGTTGGAAGTGGTACTCAGACTTTTCTGGGTAAGTTTCACATTCTTTTTCAGACCGACAGCTATTAGAAGTGTTTTTGAGTCCTCTGGAGAGCGGTTATCGGTTTCAGGTTTTCTCCAAGGCTGATTGTAGGGTTTCAGCAAGAAAGTGATCAGATAAGGGCTGTAACCTTCTTTTCATCTCCTTACTCTTCTCTTTGGGATTCCAGGAGAAGCTTGTGAACTGTTTCTGTTGTGGAGATTCAGAACAGCTCCTGACAGAACAGATTTGTGAGAAAGGGCGAATAAATTTGTGCTGTTTTTCACTATCCTATGTTTTCTTTGGGGTATATTCAGCATGAAAACTATGACTCTAAATCTTATGGAGAAGGGTCTGTGGAGGCAGGAGGATCTATCTCATGCTAAGTGGATTCAAGAAAATTATCTTGTCATGACTTGGTTATGTAACTCCATACAGCCCCATATTAGCAGGAACTACCTTTGAGCAAAGACAGCTAAAGAAATTCAGGATAATATGAAAGAAACCTATTCTCAGCCCCTTAATGTTGCAAAAGAATATGAGCTGAAAAGTGAGGTGAACAAAACCTTAAGCAGGGGAAGAAATCTTTTTCTGTTTATTTCTCCACCYTAAAATCATTATGGCACGAGCTAGATCACTTGGAAACAATCAAATGGGAAAGCCAAAAAGATGCAGCAACATACAGGAAGCTAACTGAGACAAATAGGGTGTTTGAGCTTCTTATTGGATTAAATTCAGATTATGATATTGTGAGACAACAACTTCTTACTAGGGATAGTATCACCCTATCTCAGGCTTACTCCATGATACACAGTGAGGAGAGTACAAGGAAGGTTATGCTTCAAATTCCACCTATAGAATCAGCTGTAGCTGCTATGAAGCCAAAGATTGGAGGAAATAAGGAAAAGTGAAGGAGGAGAAGAGATAGGTGTTTTGTGATTACTATAAGAAACCAAAACACACTAGGGATACTTGTTGGAAGCTTCACCCTCAACTTATTCCAGCAAAGCCAAAAATAAGAAAGGGAATGCCAACACAGCCGTGACTACAGAAGCTCCATCCACATCCAACACAAGATCCAGTCCTCTTGATGCCTTGGCTGTAGTCAGAACTGCCTTGAGTCAGTTGAAGAATGATTTTGGTATTACTGGACAGCCCCAATCAGTTACTGTTCCTCCTACTCCCACTTACTGCTTTTGCTCACTCAGGTACAAAGGCTACTGCCCAGCATGCCTCTGCCCCAAGTAACACTAGTCTTTTTTGGATTATAAATTTAGGTGAATCTGATCATATGACTACTTTGTCTTCCTTCTTTTCTTCCTATTGTCTATCCTTTGGTATAAACAAAGTATCTATTGTTAATGGCTCTCTTGTCCCTATTTCTGGCAAGGGAGACATCAGAGTCTCTGATGCCATTTCTTCATCCTTAGTTCTGCATGTTCCTAATCTAAGTACTAATATACTTTCAGTCAGTAGTATCACTAAAAATCAGAATTGTTCAGTAACATTTTCCCCTGATCATTGTGTTATCCAGGATCTAGCGACAAGGTGATTGGGACTAGTCGTGAGACGAATGGGATCTATTTGCTTGAACATCCACCTGGGAGAAATAAAGAAGTTGGGAAGTCTTTTGTGTCACAGTCTATGTCAGATTATGCTTTGGCATAACTGATTGGGTCATTTGTCTTTTGGGTCTTTAAAGAGTCTTTTTCCTGCTTTGTTTGAGTCAATCCAACTGTCCAATTTGAAGTGTGAGATCTGTGAATTGGCAAAGCATTGTAAATCAACTTATTCATTGAGTAGTGAAATATGTATTATTCCTTTTGAAATTGTGCATACTGACATTTAGGGACCATACCACATTATTGCTATGGGAGGGTACAAATACTTTCTGTTATTTGTTGATGACTACTCTCGGTTTTCATGGGTTTACTTCATGCACTCTCGAGATGAAATTCCTACTCTAACCCATGCTTTTCATCAGATGGTTCTACTCATTTTAGAACTACGATAAAAATATCTCAGATTTAATAATGCCAAGGAGTATTTTGCAAAGCCCTTGGCCTCATATCTTCTTGTTTCTGAACGAACCGCTCTTTTCGCCCAAAAAAAAAAAAAAAAAAACATTTCTTGCGCCAGTCTTCAAGATCCTATCAGGCTATTAGCTTCCTCTCCGGAAGGGAGAATGAAGAGATATTTGCCTCTGTCCATCCTTCTGATCCTCACCCCCAAAGCCACTTTCCAAAAGTCACCGTCCACCTCTGCAGTTCGCTGATTGAGAGTCAGGTCTCTACTTCCCCCACCAGATCAGCTTCCAAATACTTCACCTATGCATTTCTCCCTTTCCATCTGGAACCAAGTAGAAATATTTACTTCCCACACCCCACTTTTAATCTGACCTATCTGTCAGTTGTCCACTTCTACAGTTTTTGCCTTCTCCATATAGGAGCTTCTCTCTCCACTTCTCTTATCCCCACCTTTCTCAGTATCACGTTTTCAGTATAACCACCAGCAAACCTGTTTCCCCAATTAGAAACCATGAATTCCGATAAGTATATTTCAGATAGCATGGGAAAAAATGGGAAGATTGGTGTAGATCAAGGATTTCGTTGCAATAGATGCAGAGTTGGGGCGGCAAAGAGTTTGGTAGACAAGCTTTTGAAGCATTTGAAAGGAGTAAGAGGGAGAAGAATCTAAAGAAGGGTTCAGTAGGGAAAGGAGGAGAGGCATGGAACGAGAAAGGAGACGGGCAGGAAGAGGTGTTTGAAGGAGATGATCAAGGTGTGGACAAGTTGGCAAAGGTCTTCGTGCATTGGTCTGTGAGTCTGTGGTTCCAGAACTATTAGGAAGAAGATTAATTTTTCTGGAAGAGATTTGGAGTCTGTTTTTCTTTTCCTTTTGTTTGATGTAATTTTGTTGTGATTGGTTATTTCTGGTGTTGTCTCAACACCCTCTAATGATTGTATTCAGTTTTTATTTAAATGATTTCTTTTCTTTCTACTTTTCAAAAAAAAAGCAAAAGGCTATCAATCCAATATGTTAACGGTAGTACAAACTGGATATAAATTTGACTTGGTATGGCATGGAATAAAATCCTTCCATAGCTTCAAGCACATAGTATCTTAATGTCATGATGTATGATAAGTAGCTATCATTTTTTATGGGCATTAGTTTGTTCTGATTCAAGTATGGAAAATGTTCCCCCCAAATCTAAGAGCATGCAGATATCAAAGATTATGACCTGGCACATCAGATGGAACTCCCCATATTCAGGATTAATACCAAAATCTCCAGAAGCTTCTAAAGGAACATTGCCAAACCAGCCACTTGCATTGTGCAAAAATATTCGTTGACCCCGAAAACATAAACTTGCTGCCATGTCCTGCATGCATGCAACCACATACAAGTATTATTAGTGCTTCCAAACAGGCCATCAAGTAGTTTTAGAGTTCATACTTTTTTATAGAGAAAGCATCAACCATTCTCTAAAAGCAATCATCATGTACAGTTCTGAGCACAATCCTGAAGACTTGCATGGAAGTGGAAATACCAACTTAAGATATAGAATAATAATTGTGTAGGCCACTTAAACAGGGAACGCACAACTATGCAGATGGTGGATTTATGTAAATAGATAAAAAGAATGAATTCTAAAATGAAAAATAGAAACTATTGGGAAATTTTCAATATAGGATTTGCTAGTTGGGTCATCTTCCACATGGCAATGTTAAATTAAAACCATGAACTGTTAATATTACTCGTGGAAAAAAGTCAATATAAAGTGTATTCTAGGGTTGATGCAGGTGGATTTAGGGATGAAGACATTGATTCAAAGGGACTACAATTTAGTACACAGTTCAGATCAATCACATTGACCCTCCATATGGCTCATTTAGGAGATTTTCCCACTTGACTTGACTAAAAATTTTTTCTACACAGAACAGTTAGTCCATAAGATCTAGCATGAGTGATAATTCAAAGAAAACAAATGTTAGTTCAACAATATAGCTTAAAAGTCGTGGTAAGAGCTTAAGCCATTGGATCCAATGAGATTTTCCTTTTCGTTGATAATAACAAATATATTATGTATAATTATAGAAAGACGTACAACAGGAATATAACAAGGGATCCACCTTTGCATATTGAACTCTTCATATAAGTGCCACAAAAACATAAAAAAAAGGATGAAATAAATTACTGTCTTGCTAGTACTGCCATATGGACAACTTTTGTCATTATTGCAAAGATTTAGGCTAATGTATTCACTACATAATGACTACCCAAACTAAATCCAGAGGCATTATTCGGACTTTATCGACACCTATTATCATTTTTTTTATCAATCACCTATTACCATTATGTTAGGCTTTTTTTTATAGGTAAAAAACGAAATTTTCATTAAAATAAAAGAAAATACAAGAAGGTGATGAGTCATCACCCATTACAATCAAGAATGTAGGACCCAAACTCAATACACATTTTTCCAGATTACAAACCTGAATTTCCAGCACTTCCCCTAAATTTTCCCCCAGATCCCTTCTATCAATATGTCTGAACTCTGGATCCATAACCCAATCAGCAATCGACTTGCTTACAGCAGCCACAATCCTATTCATGTTATAGAATTTGGCTTCAAAAATTCTTCTATTCCTCTCCTTCCACAAGTTCCAACATATTGCAAAGGGTATGCAGCTCCAAAACACCATAGGATTTTTTATATATAGGTTTTTTTATTTAAGAGATTAAATCAGGTTTTATTTGTAAACAATAACCCACTTTATTGAATTCACCATTTATCTATTACATATAATTTGAATTCCTTAATTTTAAAAATTAAAACAAGTTTGCAATTGATAAGCTATTTAATTTAAAAGAATGGGACCCACACCGCTGAAAGTCTTTACAATGAGTCCTTTATTTGAATGAGGAAATTAAAATAGAAAGATTAACATGGATCCTACATCTTTTGAAGTGTGTACTTTTATTGATAGGCAGCCACATGTCTGAAGTTAGCTTTTTTTTTTTGAGTGTGGGTAAACACATGTCTGAGGAACAAAGCTTCTATTTGAGAGTGGAAAGAACCACTCTCTGAATACTCTTTCTTAAGAATATAGGGTGTCACTTATCTGAAGTAGAAGCCCTCTAGGCTCCCACATTTCTGAAGTTAGCGTTTTTTTTTTTTTTTGAGAGTGGATAAACACGTCTGAGGAACAAGGCTTCTATTTCAGAGTGGAAAGAACCACTCTCTGAATACTCTTTCTTAAGAATATAGGGTGTCACTTATCTGAAGTAGAAGCCCTCTAGGCTCTAGTCTGAGGGCTTTCCTTTAATATATATACTAGATAATGACCCCCCATATGGTCACTAATTTGACTATTTTGTTTGACATCCATTATCTATACTGTAAATTTAGGTTAGATTTTCATTTGATTTTTTTTTAGTAAAGGATTTTTTTGATAGATAGGTTTCTTATTTGATTTAAGAGATTAAATCAGGTTTTATTAGTAATTTATAACCCAGTTTCTCTATAAGAATGGGTCCCACTAGACCTGTTCATGAACCAGGCTCAGGTTTAGCTTTTGCCAAATTTAAATGGAACCAGCCTGAAGCTCGACCCATGAACAGATTTAGGTCCACACTATTTATTATTTCGTTTGAGATACCCTACTTGTGCTTATGTGCTAAATTTGATTTGGGTTTCTTATTTCATTTAATAAATTAAATCAGGTTTAATTTATAACTGATGACCTATTTCATTTAAAAGAATGAGTCTTCTATTTGAATTTCGAAAACTGAATTAGAAAGGTTAGTATGGGCCACACATCATTTTAAGTTTTTTTTTTTTTTTTTTTGATAAGTAGCCATGAGTCTGGACTCTGGAGTACTTTTTTTTATCAACAATAGAATTTCATTGGAATTAATTAGGAGGTATTACAATCAAACAGAGGGAGGTAAACTGTCTTAACTCCCCCACAAGCAAAAAACAGAATTAGAAAGAAGCCCAAAACAATGAAGCCCTATACACCCCTTGCTTAGCTAGCTCGTCAGCAATGGCATTTGTAGTTCTTTTAACCCAGCTGTACTTAACTTCAATATCCTTTGCCAGCCATTTAAATTTTTTCCTCTCATTGTTGTATTTCCAGAAACCAGGCTTGTCTTCCTTTAACCAACTTACTACTATCTCCGAATCTCCATCAAGAATCAGTCTCCTAATATCCAGTTCTCTTGCTCTTCGGATCGCTTCCAGGGCTGCTGATATCTCAAACCTGAGAGAATCACCCTCTCCAAATGGACCAGAGAAAAGGGCTATAGTATTTCCTTCCTCATTTCTGAAAACGTGTTAAGCCCAGAGAAGGAGACAACCCAGATGGAGAAACTCGGACCCAGTAGGCCCAAGTATCAGCCCAGAACACCACATGCATCACGCGTATGGCACCACCCGTTAAATTCGTGTATACCCGACGACGTCCACGTAATGGGAAGCAATCATAGTCTGTGTAAGACGCTCAGAGTCGGTTACAAGTTGTTAGCTGGCCATGCACTATATAGGCCAATCAGCAAATGCATGAAAGACAGTGAATAATTCCCTCTCTCTCTCTCTCTCTCTCTCTCTCTCTCTCGTCTTCAAACTCACGTCCATTTCAGGAGGGCAAGCTCCCTCGAACCAGCTCACCAAAAGCAGAACAGAAGTGGAACCTATCAACTGGTATCAGAGCCCAGCTGCGATGCCAACCACCAGGTCTTCGTCTGCAGAAAAAAGGATCGACCGCATCGAAGGAGAAGTGTGGCAGACCACCAGCGAGTTGATAGAAATCAAAGAGACCCTCTCAGCTCTGGTAGGTCAGTTCGAACGGATGTCATCAGCTTCAAGACCCACTGATATTGAAGGATCTAGCAGCAGAGGCGTTAGGAGGGGAGGAGCGTTTCCAGTCAAGGCTGCCAAAATTGACTTTCCTCTTTACTCAGGTGATGATGATCCCATTCCTTGGATCTATTGGGCCAAACGCTACTTTGAATTCCATAAGACCCCAGCAGATCAGAGGGTCTCCATTGCCGCCATACACATGGATGGAGAGGCTATTATGTGGTACCAATGGTAGTAAGACTCACCCCCAAACCACCTAGTTGGATCTAACCAAAGCCTTGTGTGTGAGGTTCGGTCCTTCTAGTTATGAGAACTTCAATGAGTCACTCTCCCGGGTGAGACAGACAGGAACAGTGAGGGAGTATCAGAATGAATTTGAAAGGTTGGCCACCCAGGTTCACAACTGGCCGGAGRCCACTCTGGTGGGATGTTTTATAGGGGGCTTAAGGGAAGACATCCGAATAGAGGTGAATACCATGCAACCGACCACCTTGATGGCAGCAGTGGGATTGGCTAAGCTCCATGAGGAGAGACTGGACCAGCTTAAGAAGCTAGGGAGGCCTATTGGGCCTCAAGCGGGCCTAACCCAAAAGAGACCCTATCCCAAGACTGAGTCGAAACCTGGGCCTCTTCTTCCAACCCCAACCTCGGCTACCCTCAAACCGGTTCCCTTACCAGCTCCACCTAACAAGAGGACTGGAACTCTGATCCTCCCTTACCGGAAACTATATTGGACGGAAATGCAGGCCCATAGGGAGAAAGGCCTCTGTTATAATTGCAACGAAAAATTCGTCCTGGACCACAAATGCAAGATCCATCATGTGTATCTTCTACAAGTAGGAGAGGATGATTTTGAAACCCAAACCGGTGACCGGGATTCAGCAGATGGAGGTGGTACCGGAGATAGAATACTGTGTTATATCCCTTCAGGCCCTAGCTGGTTACCAGGTCCCAAGAACCATGCGGACACAGGGGCTGATATCAGGGAAGAGAGTGGCTGTCTTGATTGATAGTGGAAGCTCTCTAAATTTCATTACTCCCCGATTAGCCAAACAACTCGGGTTAATGATAGAACCCGTCTCTCCATTTGCAGTCAACATGGCCAATGGCCACCAAATCACTTGTGACGGGAGGTGCAAATCAGTAGAATTAAAGATTCAAGGGTACCAATTTAAAGTGGACCTACATCTGTTAGAATTCACAGAGGCAGATGTTGTCTTGGGCATACAATGGCTACAGTTGCTGGGCCCTATGGTTTGTAATTGGTCTGACTTGACAGTGCAATTTACTTATGGGTGGAGTTCCTACACATTAAAGGGGATTAAGGCCCAACCCATAACCACTAACAGTTTGGAGGTTGTACTTGAGACCTATCAACATGACTCTATTCCAGTATTGATGAGCATGGGCTCAATGCCCACTAGGCCCATTATTACTCCCCTCACAGGAAACACTAGCCCATCCCCAAGCCAGACCCAACAGCTCCAGCTATTACTACGGACCTACTCCGACAATTT